ACCGCACATGTACTTATCCATACATGAAGGCTTTCACTTCAATTTAATGAGTTTCAGGAATTCTGAGAGCCCTTTTCTTGGTCGATTAATTGGAGAGAAAAAAATGGGAATGGGTTTAGTTGTCAATTCAATGTCACATGGCTCTTTTAATGCAGTTTGATAGCTGAACAATGTTGGGTGTCAACAACACTGGAAAAAACCTATTCTATAAAGCCAATGAACAGTACTTTTATTGTTGTTGCTATTGCCGTGGTTACTTTTATTGTAATAGTTCTTGTTGTCATTTTTTACAAGTATTTCAAAGATAAGGCAATTTGAATCATCTTCTTTTTTTTCATTTTTTCTTGTTTTATTGTCATAGCTCACTTGCTGGATTCAAAAGAAAGAATGTGAAGGAGCATATCATGATAGTGCAACACTTGCTGAGCACTGACTGTGTGATTTGTCAGGACTTTGATGATAATCGGCAGTCAACAGGGAACTGTCTTTACATGTAAACAGCAAAATTACAACCCATTTTACAATTGTACATGTACAGTGTAGGTGAGCTTTAGAGACTAATCCTACTCCAACCTGGACATTATCTAAGACTTTATACAACATGTTACCACATCAGTACAAAAGTAAGATCTTTAACACATTTCCTATCTGAGAAATGAACTTCAGGGACGGATCTGGGATTTTTCCAAAGAGGGGGGGGGGGGGGCTTAAATTTATGAAATTGCGAGCGCAAAGCACCAAGCCTTGACAGCGTGGCATCCCATTTGAACTTTAAGATGCTCTATGGTACATTCAGAGACATTTCTGAATGTGTAAACTGAACATTTATGTAAATATTTCTTAGCTTTTTTCCCTTTTTTTTTGGAAGGTAAAATGTGGGAACGTGTGACCCCCCCCCCCCCCCCCCCCCCCCATGGATCCGCCCCTGAAAATGATTTTGGCTTGTTCTTGCAGGACCAAAACTATTTCTTTATACAAGTAAAAACATTGGTCCTGGTATATACATTAAGCTTTCAAAATTTTACCATCTAGGTCAACCAATAAATAAAGGTCACTTCCTTTGTGGCACCTTCTACTTTACAGTTCTACAACCTGAATCAAACAAAGTCTTGGATTTTATTATTTTTCAATAATTGCCATACATTCTATATTTGTTGTTAACCTAATTCTCTTTCAAATGGAGGACAAAAGTTTAGATTCACCCATTGACTACAGTCCAGTGGGTATCTTACAAATTATAATTCTCTAACATCACCATTTTAAATAACAAAAAAGAACTTATTTCAAGTTATTTTCAACTGACTTGACAATTTTGAATAAGATTATCAGCTATTGTTTGTTGGGTTTCATTCTCCTTGAATAATTATATTGTACAACCGAGTTGTATGTACATGTACATGTACATGTAGTTAAGAAACAGGATTCAGGAATAGGTATAAAAGCCCATTAGAAACCAACCGTCATGGTATATGCAGGTATGAATATCAGATCATATCTCAATCAGGAAGTTATACGTGTACAGTAGGTGAATGCTTTTTAAAGTACACATTTATGTATTGCATACATACAATGTACATTATGGAAAAACGAAACAATCTTTTTACAGTATAACATTACAGGCTCCAGCTGCATACAGTTTATGTTACTGTATTTGATGCTACCTTTTCCCCGCCATTATTTGGTATAGAATGAACAACTATTCTGCAAGCATAACTATTTAAATCTGCTACAGACATGTACTGCAAGTTGCCATATGCCCATATGAGTTTAAATTAAGGCTGTGCACAACCGTGTAATGAGGTACCCGAGTACACTTCCAGGCTTACAAACGAATACTCGAATATTCGGACGCCATGTTTTTTTTATTGTTTTTTATTTTTTATTTTTTTGCCCCCACCATACCACGGGAGCTGTATCCCAGGTCCGTCTCCGAAAACTCATGCAATTTTAATGAGTTGCAGTTGAAGGTGCCGATTTATTAATACTAATAACAGTAAACAATGCTGTTTTAAAAATCAAAGATGGCAGAATAATCCGTTTTCCTCCGAGTCTAAACAGAAATCCAGACATTTGGTCCCAGTTTCTGAGTGGTGAGTTTGACAGTGACTGAGCTGGGAAACATTTTTTTTTTTTTTTTTTTTTTTGGGGGGGGGGGGGGCGGCTGAATATTCGAGTACGAGTAGGTGTCAACAGTGCGGGTACTCGAGCATTCAACTACTCCTCGCAGCCCTAGTTAAAATACAACAAGTTTTTCATGTAGTTCTACAGCTGATCATGTTAACACAAATTCATATTGTTGATCATATCTTCGTATAATATTGTTCTGTATTATCTAAAATTGAATTTTACACAGTTTATACAAATTATGTGCCATAATTCTTTCTAGTGATTCGAGATCCATTCAAATGGACGCTTCACACCGATTTCCTAGACACCAAAAGGTACAATAAAACGGTCATCATCATCATCACGTACCGTAACAAGTCAGACATCGGCAGTCACAGCCATTCATTTATATCTACAGTATTATCTGCTATTCTTAAAAGGCTGGTATTGCTATTTCCTTTATGGTTGCCTATTTGTTCAGATTTGCAAAAACATGTACATGAGGCGTTGCCTTCCCCTGCTTCTCTTTCCAGCAATCTCTCCTGTTAATATTATTTTTTCTAGATTTTTCTTTCTGTATACACATGTATTTCCCTAGCCTCAGGATTATATTAGAATCATGTTTATTTGTGGGTGTACACTAAACATGTAAAGTTATGGGTAGAAAGTCTTTCACAGAGAAGCATTTTTCAAGATATCAGAATTGTAGTACTAGATGATTGCTGGGACAATTTTTAAACAAGGTTAAAACTCTTGAACCTATGCATAGCTTTGTCTTTTGGTAAGCTCAAAAATGTTCTGTGTAAGAAAAATTTAATTCTACATGTTGTTTCGAAATTACAAGATAATATTGTCTTTTCTTTCAGTAAGTGATCACAGGTTTGCAAGAAGTTCTTAAAATTGAAATGAAAGTAACGTGTGCAACAATGTTTCCACTTAATTCAGTTCTGCATTCCCTTAGAATCATTTAATTCTACATGTTGTTTCGAAATTACAAGATAATGTCTTTAGACTTTTGTTTCAGTAAGTGGATAATTAAACAAATGAGAGGTCAAAAATAATTTACATCCTGAAACTAAGGAAATCTTGCAGCTGTATCGTTTCTCATATCGTTTCTCAGAGCACTTGAAATTAAGATGTTTATTGGACAATCCTTCCCACCACAGGTTTGCAATAAATACTTAAAGATGAAATACATATAAATGGAAGTATTAAATGTGTGCAACAATGTGTTTCCTCTTAGATGTACATGTACATGTAATTCAGTTCTGCATTCCCTTTAAGTACGGACAAACAAACTAGGAAGGAAGTGAGGAGCTTGAGAGTGCAGTTTCCAATGTATCATGAGTAAGCAGTGCACTTGATATGCCGCAAGGGATTTCCTATTCATCTACGAGACAATTCTAAACCGGACAAAATTGTAATCTATCCAGCAACAACAACAGAAAATATATCTTACACATGTATTTAGCTAATTCATCTCATTTCCGGTGTATTTCGAGAATAGGTAGTAGGATTGCAGATATTCATGATACCATTCAGTTGGGTCTGTTTGAGGATATGGATACAGCATCCACTATACAAGATAGTGATAATGTTTCTCTTTATCTTCATACAACTAATTACCTGCACCAGCACACACACTTCCCTTCTCTTTCTCCCCCATGTTCACCCCAGGCATACATTATATTAAAAGTATATACATTTAGTCAATAATATCAAGGTCAAAAATCAGGAGACAGGTCATGAAATCAAACACTTGTATCTTAGTAATTTAATCACCTTCATTATTATTCTCTTCAGTACAAATGAATGGAGATGTATTACAAATTCTGCTTTGATATTGATACACCTGTATGTTCTTAATGATGTTTATAAAGTTTATAGATACATGTATATACAGGTATATATCTATAATGTACTGTAGTTTGGTTTATTAAAACTTCAAAAGCTGCTTTATTATTATTATTAAAAAGGGAGAAAGAGGGATACATTATACATGTAGATCAGGACTGATTTTGTTAAATTCCTAAGGGTCTATGGCTCTAACATATATGTACAATACCTGAAGTACAATTAAATGTATATAAATCTGTTTTGGAAAAATCATTCAAAACTATCTCAATACCTAGAAAACATGTGTTAAGTACAAGCAGATCTATCAAACTAGACCCCAGTTTCAAGATGCCAGTGTCTGCTAAATTAGCAATTGGCCCACCACTAGAAGACTAATACTGTGGTGCCTGGCTGTGACAGGTCAGATTTTCTTGTCGTCTAAAAATCTGTCATAGACCTCGAAATGACTTCAATTTCTCTCAGTGTCACAGTCACACTGAGAAAAATTTGAATGCATTTAAAAATATTAATAATAATATTACAGAATAAATAACTTGATAATTCACCTAAAATCTCCTCCGATCCTCACCCCCCCCCCCCCCCCCCCTCCCCTTTCTACTCCTGATCATCATCAATCATCGTCATTGCCATCATCAATCATCGCCATTACTATCACTTGTCTTTGATAAAGTCTTAACTTTAAAAACATCAAGGGAAAACTTTTCAACGTATTCTGGTAAAAAGTTAATCCCCTTGAAAAATTTCTGTTTTATTAATGAATTCCCCATACCAGACGGTTATTTCTGTCTATGCAAACAAGTAACAATCCGTCTCTCCAAGGGGCTCCATGGCCATTGTCCATTCACAAGCGTAAGAATGTTTGCAGCTCAAGACACACGGTGACCTACACACATATACCGCGGGAAGCTCGGGGGAAGATTCAACCACATTCCCGGACATGGTCACGAGACAGCCTGAATAAATGGCTAAATCGAATGAATTTTCATGGAAACACTAAACTAATGACAGTCATATGAAGTAGGTCAAAAACCACTTACCAAACTTTCCTCGTTGAACCGCACCAGCATACAATAAACTCGCATATTACGATCAAACAATCGAAATAATAACTTTTAGCAAAGTTTCCACAAAGTTGGCAATCAAACTTCACGCGACAGTGCTGTCGAAATAAGGTAAACACATATTATCCGCACGTCCGGTCCGCCCACGCGGCGCGCGCGCGTGATCAGCGATCTTGGCTGCCATGAACTGATGATACACGGCACGGGGCCCGCCCGATATAAACAAGTAATATTTTATTTTAAAAACTTTATCATAAACTGAGAGAAAACTATTATCAATCAGCTGAGGATGGGATAAATTTCAAATGGGACGTAGGTAAATCACTCAAAGGGTTCATTACCGTAGTTATTACATTAGGCCTACCATAAATCGACATATCATTTTTTCTCTTCGTATATATAGTTAGGCCTAAACATATTTTATTCATGAAAACCGAAAAACCGTTCGAAAAAGCATTTAAGCTATGCTAACTTTGCAGCTGCTTTTAGCTGTTTAATGAGAACATAATGGACCGAGGAAAGACCTTCCAACGTACATTCACCCACCAATTTAATAAATGATCCTGTTACGGCTGTATATATTATATGAAGTTACTTTTCTGGGAATATAAGAACTCCCCTCCCATATAGCTTTCATGTGTCTTTGAGTGATTAATTATTATGCAGGCAGTATCTGACGTTTTACATTTTAACTCAGAGCAGGGGAAAACCCTCTACAGAAGTACACAACCGTTAAGGTCACATTTTTAAAATGCAACCGTCAACGACAACGTAAATAGTGAGAGGTATATGAGGTCATGAAGATCATTATTTTCAAAAGCCGCTTGTCGCTATCAGAAAAGGTTTCTTCAACCTCCAGTACCAAGCAGCGCGGCAATCAGATGGACAAGGATTTCAAGCCCATTTTCATCTTATATATTTTCTATTAAATGCCCCTTTCGACTTTTCAGTAACGTGTCATTTTTTTATGTCTGAAAATAGAGCTTGTAAGAATTACGAACGTACCTTTAGGCTAAAGGTTTTAAATTTTTGTTTTTTAAGGTAATGGTTACGAAAAAATAACTCCCCGCCCTACTCTTTGTAAACGTGTACATGTTTCTCAATTCCATTATAGAAAGGACGTTTTAAAAATAAACTGCTCTACTTAATTGGGTATAATATAAAAGTAGGCCTATATATAACATTGTCATACTCCTCGAGGTACTTTTTTAACAGTATAAAGTATAAGAGAAATGGACTCTCCAACCCCATGAGCGGATACAGTGTCATTTTGTTTCCAATTCCCCGAAAGATAATCCTTTTTCATATATTATATCTGCCTTTTTTATGATAGAATGTGATAGAGCACCTTTCTTTTTGGTGAATCCAATTTTTGAGAAAATATCTAGCGGCGAATAAACCAGCCGGTGAATTACCGGGGGGGGGGGGAGGGGGGTAGAGATTCATTTTTTGGGGGCGAACATTTTTTGATTTATTTTTTTGCCAGGGGGGGGGGGCGCTTTAGTTTTTTGTTTAAAAAAGATAAAATTTACGACATTATTTTGATTTTTTTTTACCTGTTTTGGGAGTTAGGGGGCAGGCCCTCTACACACACCCGTAAAGGATTATTGGAAAAATCAAACGTCAGCGTTATGGATGGTATATGAGGTCATGGAGATCATTATTTTCAAAAGCTGCTTGTCGTGATCGTTTTTTCAACCTCAAGTACCAAGCAGCGCGCCAATCAGATGGACAGGGATTTCAAGCCCATTTTCTATTAAAATATATGTCATATATATTTACCTTTTTATGATAGAATATGAATCCCCCGCCATTACATTCAAAATAATATTTTCATGCCAGCATATTTTTCCCCGGGAATCTCATCGGTGGACTAAAAAAAAAATATAAATGGAACTATATAAGATAAAAGGGCGGAAATTAAGCACTGAAAACTTCAGGCCTGTTGATGATATTTATTGATGTCAGATCTGACGTACAATGATTATGATGATCCCTCTTCGTGACTGACCGAGCACAGGTCTACTTTCCTTCACTAATACATGTCAAAAACAAAATCATAAAACATAAAATTGGCGACGCAGTATAACGTGGATTAATTTTTCTTCATAATATTATTCTCTTTATAAATAGCCTACGGCAGTTTATTAGAGCGGAAATACAATGGGAGCGGTGTATGGCACAGGATATTTGTACGAGGGTGACAAATCACTACTACAGAAAAGTATACGAAATGAAAAATATTCTGTAAAATTGTAAGTTTGTCCAAATGAAATTGAGTTTCATTTACAGCTTGGATATTGATTGTAGGCAAACACTGTCTATTTGCAATCTTAGGCTCCTTTCCGGGGCTCCTTTCCTTGAATAGTAGCAACGAATATTTATTGATCAACAATTAAACTGAATACCTCCTTGATGGAAACAGTTATTCATAACACTAGTTACTCACATAAGGGAGATATTCGGCCTAGATTTGGACTGTAAACAACGTCATCAATTCACTGTGTTTCTTTGTGAAAAACTATTCGGTAAAACGAATCATCGTGCACTCCTTTTTTCCTCTTTGCTTAGTGGGGGCGGGAATTTTGGTTGAATTGATGTCATTGTCCTTCATTTTCATTGGCCAACCTTTTACCTCTCCTGTTCTTCCCTTTCCTTACGTTATCATTACCTCTAGATAATGTGGAGCCCCACAGAATACCCCCCCCCCTATTTTTTTGTATATCTCTGACTATGTATGTATGACACAAGTATATTTCTAGCCCCCATAATTATAGTCCCTCCTTTTAGTTAATTAGGTACCCCCTCCTGCGAGAGTGGCCTCACCCACAACTAACCTAAACACACCAGCTGGGATACCAGGAGTGGCTTCTCACTTTGTTTTGCCATGCATCCTAGTCAACACCTTTCTTATTTTGTCTTCCTTTCATAGGTAAGAAAGAATCTCTTATTATTCAATTGTGTTATATTCTTGTTCTTCATAATATGTGTATTTCTAAACTATTATAACTTCACTATTCACATATCTTGTATTACTGTATAAAAAGAGATATTAATGGTCTTTGGCTATGAGATGTTGGATTATATGACATGTGGACTATGGGTGGAAATATAAGAGATGCCATGTGGGAAGAGATAATCATTGATGTACATAGTAATTACTTGTAGTAATGATAGGAAACTATTACTGTGTGTATGTGAGATTGATGATTATGTTGTTTGACTTAGACAACATTTTAAGTAAGTTTTGAGAAGAGAATATACTTTATTACTGTCAGTATATTTGTCCTTTGCTCGATATTCATGTGTATATAAAATGATATATATATTCTTAGCCAATTAGGACATGTGCCCTTTACTATGCATTATGCCGAAGCACATTGTTATATATTCTAGTTCGAGTTAGATACAGTTTTAATAGCGGAATGAGTGGTTTAAGTTCAGATTATCTTTAACTTTCAGTATTATGGTATGAGTGAGTGTGGACGCACCACGTGTACAATACTAGTGTGTTATTAGGATATGGCAGTGCGTTCAATGTGAACACAACTTCTTATCAGAGTTCTTAATCCCCTCTCCCCCCAAGCTTGACCATCCACTGCAATGCATTACACGCACACAGTGTAGATAGAGTATATGCTATACCCAGGGAAGTGTTAGAGATAGAATGTGTTTGTTTTTGACCCATGCTGGAAATGGTATCTTAGGCGGGAATGAAAGTTTGGTAGAGTCAGCAAAATGAGAAGACAAAGGATTTGAGTTGGGGAATACACTTGTTGAGAAACACATGGTCAAATTGTCTAGTAGTTAGCTAGTGATGGATGGGTTGATGAAATATTGTAGTTGAAGACTTGCATAATCACTGTCTGGAATTCATTTTATTATATTGTTAGGAATGATAATTCAGGTTAAATGTTATTGGGAATTACTCTCTCTCTCTCTCTCTCTCTCTCTCTCTCTCTCTCTCTCTCTATTATATATATATCTCCCTCTCTCTCTCTCCCCCCCCCCCTCTCTCTCTTTATATTCTCTCCCTCTCTTTCTCTCTCTCTCTCTCTCTCTCTGTATGGTTCACCCTTTCTCTTTCACTCTCACTTTGCTTTGTATATAACCATGAAATGAATATACATGTATTTAGTAAAACTATTGGTTGTTGTTTAGAATTAGAATATGAACTGTATGTGAAGATGAGATTATACAGTAAGAGGAATTCGTAATATTGGTTGTAAGTTTGTTAGAGCTATAGTACAGACTGCAGACTAAGACTATTTGCCAGTTCTGTGAATATTGTAAGGAGTTTAGGATATAAGTTGTTGAAGATGTATCTTTTCAAGCTCAGTAGTCTCGCTGAAAAAGATAGTATTAGATCAAAGTGATGCAGATGACTATTGGAAAATACATGAGCTATAGTTAAGGAAGAGTTATAAGTTTATTCAGTATTAATGTGAAGTCCTGAGACAAGAAGTAACTTGTGAATTTAGGGATTAGTGAAGGCTGAGAGTAGAATTGCATTCTAAGGGTCTATGTGTACAGTGGATCCTCAGTCTTGGAGCGTAAAGAGTAGAAAGCTTATTAGACAGTAGTATAGGGATGATTATGCCAACATTCTTGTATTAGGTCTATAATGTGATTTCTTGAAAGAGACGCTAAGTGAAGAGTTATATGATTAGAAGCTAAAGTAGATTGACTGATACCGCAATGTTATAGACATTTGATAAGGGTTAAGTTATTTATTAGTAGCCAAGTTATGATTATGAGATCGATGAAGAGTTGCACTTTTACATAAAGCATGGAAGTAAGGATAGTTTCGTTTAGAGATAGTAAAGTAATGAAACTAACCAGATGATGTTCTTAGTGATATAGTAAGAGAACACGGAGAGCTAATGAATTCAATGTATGCGAACAGGTAGATTTATTTGTGTTTAATACTTGAAGAGTATTGTTATGCCATTTGATCGTATATAAATGATTGTAAGAAAAGACTGTTATTGTAGAAGATTAAGTAATAAAGACTTTGTTTTGCCATGCATCCTAGTCAACACCTTTCTTATTTTGTCTTCCTTTCATAGGTATGCCCCCTCCCTCGGGGTGAGGGCGCTACAAATTTGGCGACCTTGCCAGGACGGCCATCGTCAAAGAGACACGAGGACGATGTGTCGTCCTATGACACGAACAGTTGGATAATCGAAGAAGCAGTGATGTAACGATAAAAAGGACCAGAAGTCAGAGAGCCGGAGAAGACCATCCCTGATTGGAAATGAGGTTGGCTCAGCATCAGAGAGAATGGGACAAGCTGCAGAGAGGAGAAAAGGCTACTACGAGCGTGCAGTATGCAGCAGGGTGCTACAGCAAGGGGATAGGGCCCTGGTGCGAAGTCTGGCCCCGCCAGGTGGCCAAGGAAAGCTTCACCCTTACTGGGAGGAAATAGATGGCGGAGCAGTGAGTGGAGTCAAGGATGTCCAGGGGTTCTCCAAGGCGCCACCCGCAACAGCCCAGCCACGGCCTGCACCGTTCCAGTACCGGTATGACCCACCATTCTACCCTCATCAAATGCCTCTACAGATGCAGACGCCGATAGCCCACGAGCAACTAACCCTCTACCAACGTCAGATGACAGAAGATCAACTTCAATTTTTCCAGCGAGCGAGTCAATCATTCGACCCGCGAGGAAGGCCTCAAACGGATTCTTTTTTGTTTTTAATATTTTGTTTTACATTAGATGCATCGTTATTTAGAATCATGTGCTAGCTGTTAAGTAAACCAGAAATACGAGTAATGAGAAGTAGTAAGATGAAACAAGTTGTTAATCATTTCAGGAATTGTGGTGTAATATAAAGAAACAAGCGATGACACTCGATAGTGATCAATTGATCTTTGTGATAAAGTCTTCGGAATGAGTCTCGAGCTTTCCAAGAAACCTTCACCGTATGTCAGGCGCGCCCGTAGAATGGGTTAATGTTTCGCAAAGTTTATTTGTATGGAAGAAAAAGCCACGTAATTCTGATACGATATTATGATATGTAATTCTGAGACTTCAAGTACCTATTAGGTTTCGCTATAACAAGTTGCAACAAGTGTATATGAACTCGATGTACTACATGTATTTCGCAGAGGAATTGGAGCTCGATAATTTGGGATTGGGAACGTAGCAAGGACATGGACTATAAATAATCATGGACTTTGGTGATAAGTCTCACCTCCCTGATCTGTCCTAAGTTCATGACGACATTGAACGAGAACTATATGAACGTTAAAAATGTTATACTATAATCATGAATTATTGATGTAAATGTTTGAAAGTTGAAATGTCCAGGAGACATTTATTTTTGGAGGGGAAGGTGTGGAGCCCCACAGAATACCCCCCCCCCCCCCTATTTTTTTGTATATCTCTGACTATGTATGTATGACACAAGTATATTTCTAGCCCCCATAATTATAGTCCCTCCTTTTAGTTAATTAGGTACCCCCTCCTGCGAGAGTGGCCTCACCCACAACTAACCTAAACACACCAGCTGGGATACCAGGAGTGGCTTCTCACTTTGTTTTGCCATGCATCCTAGTCAACACCTTTCTTATTTTGTCTTCCTTTCATAGGTAAGAAAGAATCTCTTATTATTCAATTGTGTTATATTCTTGTTCTTCATAATATGTGTATTTCTAAACTATTATAACTTCACTATTCACATATCTTGTATTACTGTATAAAAAGAGATATTAATGGTCTTTGGCTATGAGATGTTGGATTATATGACATGTGGACTATGGGTGGAAATATAAGAGATGCCATGTGGGAAGAGATAATCATTGATGTACATAGTAATTACTTGTAGTAATGATAGGAAACTATTACTGTGTGTATGTGAGATTGATGATTATGTTGTTTGACTTAGACAACATTTTAAGTAAGTTTTGAGAAGAGAATATACTTTATTACTGTCAGTATATTTGTCCTTTGCTCGATATTCATGTGTATATAAAATGATATATATATTCTTAGCCAATTAGGACATGTGCCCTTTACTATGCATTATGCCGAAGCACATTGTTATATATTCTAGTTCGAGTTAGATACAGTTTTAATAGCGGAATGAGTGGTTTAAGTTCAGATTATCTTTAACTTTCAGTATTATGGTATGAGTGAGTGTGGACGCACCACGTGTACAATACTAGTGTGTTATTAGGATATGGCAGTGCGTTCAATGTGAACACAACTTCTTATCAGAGTTCTTAATCCCCTCTCCCCCCAAGCTTGACCATCCACTGCAATGCATTACACGCACACAGTGTAGATAGAGTATATGCTATACCCAGGGAAGTGTTAGAGATAGAATGTGTTTGTTTTTGACCCATGCTGGAAATGGTATCTTAGGCGGGAATGAAAGTTTGGTAGAGTCAGCAAAATGAGAAGACAAAGGATTTGAGTTGGGGAATACACTTGTTGAGAAACACATGGTCAAATTGTCTAGTAGTTAGCTAGTGATGGATGGGTTGATGAAATATTGTAGTTGAAGACTTGCATAATCACTGTCTGGAATTCATTTTATTATATTGTTAGGAATGATAATTCAGGTTAAATGTTATTGGGAATTACTCTCTCTCTCTCTCTCTCTCTCTCTCTCTCTCTCTCTCTCTATTATATATATATATCTCCCTCTCTCTCTCTCCCCCCCCCCCTCTCTCTTTATATTCTCTCCCTCTCTTTCTCTCTCTCTCTCTCTCTCTCTGTATGGTTCACCCTTTCTCTTTCACTCTCACTTTGCTTTGTATATAACCATGAAATGAATATACATGTATTTAGTAAAACTATTGGTTGTTGTTTAGAATTAGAATATGAACTGTATGTGAAGATGAGATTATACAGTAAGAGGAATTCGTAATATTGGTTGTAAGTTTGTTAGAGCTATAGTACAGACTGCAGACTAAGACTATTTGCCAGTTCTGTGAATATTGTAAGGAGTTTAGGATATAAGTTGTTGAAGATGTATCTTTTCAAGCTCAGTAGTCTCGCTGAAAAAGATAGTATTAGATCAAAGTGATGCAGATGACTATTGGAAAATACATGAGCTATAGTTAAGGAAGAGTTATAAGTTTATTCAGTATTAATGTGAAGTCCTGAGACAAGAAGTAACTTGTGAATTTAGGGATTAGTGAAGGCTGAGAGTAGAATTGCATTCTAAGGGTCTATGTGTACAGTGGATCCTCAGTCTTGGAGCGTAAAGAGTAGAAAGCTTATTAGACAGTAGTATAGGGATGATTATGCCAACATTCTTGTATTAGGTCTATAATGTGATTTCTTGAAAGAGACGCTAAGTGAAGAGTTATATGATTAGAAGCTAAAGTAGATTGACTGATACCGCAATGTTATAGACATTTGATAAGGGTTAAGTTATTTATTAGTAGCCAAGTTATGATTATGAGATCGATGAAGAGTTGCACTTTTACATAAAGCATGGAAGTAAGGATAGTTTCGTTTAGAGATAGTAAAGTAATGAAACTAACCAGATGATGTTCTTAGTGATATAGTAAGAGAACACGGAGAGCTAATGAATTCAATGTATGCGAACAGGTAGATTTATTTGTGTTTAATACTTGAAGAGTATTGTTATGCCATTTGATCGTATATAAATGATTGTAAGAAAAGACTGTTATTGTAGAAGATTAAGTAATAAAGACTTTGTTTTGCCATGCATCCTAGTCAACACCTTTCTTATTTTGTCTTCCTTTCATAGGTATGCCCCCTCCCTCGGGGTGAGGGCGCTACAATAATAACAAATCTCAGTTCCCCTTCTCTCTCTCTGTTCATTTTCCTCGTTTTCTCTCATATCATTCTTGATTTATCTTAAAATGTTTAATTCTTCACTAATCTGACAATTCTCCCCTACCTCGATCCGCTTTTCTCTCTTATTACTCACGATCCATCCATCTCCCCAATGTCCCCACGTATTTTCTGTTGCATATGAGTTTTCTCTCTCCCTTATTTCATGCAGTAATTATTATTAACTTTTTCATGACTTTCGATATCATTATAAAAAGACGAAAAAGAAAAGAAATTTGTGTTTCAAACTACGTTGTCATGAAAGACATACTGTACTAATTTTTGTTTGTTCAATCACAACATAATTCCTGATTTCACTATCTTGAAAACGGCCGTAGGTACCACATATTGCGTTCATGTCCATAATATAGTACTTCATGCAGATACAATGTGTGACACAAGAGAAATGAAAGAGTAGTCGGATATAAGAGGCAAAAGATTATTTAATTGTTTATCACATGAGCCTTTAAGTACCAGTTCACCAATTGTTTAACACATGTATACACTTCTCACAGTATATTGCACTGTAATGTATTTCCATAATATTTCAATATATTAGTTTTTGTATACCACAAATTTACCTTCAATCAATTTGTAATCAATTTGTAATCAGGCTTAATCAAATTACAATACATAAGTTATGTGATTTTCTCATTTAAATGCAGAAGACAATCAATTCTATATATTATATTAACTTTAATTCAGCAAACATAACACTTGAATATCTATTATTTGAGTATGCATTACTATATAAGCAATATTTTGTATGTAATACAAGGTCAATATTGGATTATTTGAAATAAGTACACCTTTAGCATAATATCACCAGTTTGTTAAATCAATGAGGAGAAATCAGTGTTCGAAATTATCAATGAAATAGAAACTAGAAGAACTAGAAGAAGAAAAAAAACACACAAAGTCATTCCACATAGGATCCCACACGTACATAACAATTCAAGAAAATAAAACAAAATTTAAAATTCGTTGTAAATTTAAAGAATACATATTGCACAATCATGGACTGCATATTCATATAATAAAATACTAGAATCTGGAGTGGAATGGAAACATATTTACATAGAACTATATTAACAAGGAGGAATGCTTTAATATTCCCTTCGACAATGTTAAGTCATACTGTAATAGAGTTCCAACTAAGCAGCACAATTAAGAGCATAGAGTATTAAACAGTCTGAACCACCCGTTAAGAAGATTTAAAATCATCTTTTGAATCATCTGTTCCTTAAGTTCCTGCCTTTCCCTGAAGATGTTTCTATATGTCACCTAAGCCAACTAACCCATTGATTCCTGAATTCTTTCATTCCCATCTGCATAAGACTGGGATTACCAGCTCTGACTGGGAATGGGTTAAATGAACACATTTCCTCTAGTTGATGCAAAATACTTACCAAGGGTATAAACAACAAAAATAACTATGAAAATCAGACACCAAATCAAATAATGTATGCATGGTATAATATATTCCAATAATTGCAGCCATTTATATAGGCAGTTATAAAGAGGATTAATTTCCCCCTGACATGACTCTGTATATATATATATATATTTAACTTTAATTGCCACATATTTTCCATAATTATAATAGATAAAGAATACCCAGGAAAACTGAAGACATTTCCTGTTCAAAATAATCCATTACAATCTTTTGTAAGAACCTTTCTAATATGGTCTTAAAATCATTTGGAATTAAATTCACACAAAGCACAATTTAGCCTTACTTAATTTCCCTGTTAATGCTAATCAGAACCTACAGACATGTTTTTAAAGATTTTCTTGGATTGTGTTGTTGTATTTTTTAATGCAAATATATGTTTTTGAATTTGCTTTTACTCTCAACTACCGTACATATAATTTCATTGCATCTATATAATATCAGCACGTCAGTGTTTGAACAACAGACAAAAATAATTGCACAGTACATTAAAGGTACAGATTTGAAAGCCAATTGCATTATGAATCTTGATCAATCACAGAGCTCACCATGTTCTTTTTGCAAACTCTCAATATTTTGAAAACACTTATTCATACTTCCAAATATCATTTATATCTTTAATATCTGGTTTGAACAATTTTGCCTTGCTCTAGATTTGGTTCACTGTCAACATTCTTTTGATGATGGAATGGTGATCCAACATTTGCTTCAGTGAAAATTACTCCAACGACAATTGCTCTAGGATTTATGTCATAAAATATGTAGGGTTAGAGTCAGGGTTGAGCTAAAGTTTCACTATAGGTTATGTTTAATGTTAGGGTTAGGGTTGGGTTAGGGTTGGTCGAGGTTAAAGGTAGGAACTTGGTGAGTGTACACAACTGACAATGAAACAATTGACGCAAGAACAAGTCTCATACAACTTGTCCAATAACAAGGGTTCTTTTGCCTACAAACAAAACATTTCACGTTTTCAGTAAAGGTACAATGAAGTTTGAGAGTGGTCTTTAACCATGCATATTTCAACAAACTTGCTCACTAGGTTATATGCAAACACACAAAGGACATTAGTTTAAGTATACTTGACCCAATTCATACTTTCATTATAAAGGGTTAGTCCACCCTGGCAGCAATTTGGGTATAATACAAGTAGAAGAAAAATTAGAAAAACACAAAAACAAAATCAATAAAATCATAGGTCTCTTAGCCTTAATCAAATTTTCTTCAACTCGCACCGATCCCTTCCTCTTTTTAAAGTCCCATATACAAATCATAAGGTATACATTAATTGGTATATTGTATTTCAGGGGGAAAACAGATTTGTTCAGCCGAACAGATACATGACTTGTATCTCCTTAACAATAACTTTCAAAAACTATTTTGGTCTTAGACATACTAGATGAACCCATGAAAACACATTTCAATACAATTCACTATCTTGTCCCAAACTGTTTTACTTTTAGAGTTTATTTGAGAACCTGTGTTACATGTACCCATCTCTTATTATGAATATGCTACACCAAGAACAGTTAGTATCATACAACATCAAGTTACATTTAAATTTGATTTGTACTAGGAATCAATTTCAGAATTACATCAGACATATTCTCATTTATTTACTTTGAGTATTATGTAGATAGGCCATGCTACCTGGACATGTTCATAAGTAGTCAATGAAAGATATTGGATGAACACATGACAATTTGCCTTCATTACATGCCACATACAGTACTAAATATTCATATTTCACATTATACACACTCATGATACATACATACATACAATTGTGGAGTTTTCCCATTTGATGAAATGATAAATAGCTATATACACAATATACACAAGCATGGATATAGAAATGTACACAAACATGTGATGAAATTATATACAAAGGTAGGATGTAGTGAGACATTTACAAATGCAATGACGCAATTTCAGAAAATATTCACATACATGGAGAATTACAAATGTACAAATGCCAAAGAATAGCACAGGATAACAAAGTGTTTGGAACTCCCTCTTATGCAGAAGTACAGGTAGTGTGTTATGTGTATTGTGTACCGGTATATGTATCTTTGATAATGCAGAAGTGAAGATAATACTGCATTCATTCTTTCATGCAACAGTCTCACCATGATGACCCTACTCAAACAAAAACCAGGATCAAAACATATATGCTCTGTAGCTATTGCCACGATGAGTAGACATCTCAAATAGCTATTTCAATTATTAGACACTAGCTTAATCTTTTTATTGTCATGCTACAATTACAAAGGCACATAATTACACTGATATCAATCAAGAAGATCAACTTTGTATTGAATTTAGTAGATGTTCACATAGTATATAACATTTTTCGATCAGAACATAAACAGGATGTGAGCTCTAACCATCAAGCTAAAAGTCAGTGCATACCCTTCCGTAAATACAATCCTTATCTTTGATTAGTTCTGTAATCTGATTTTTTTTTTTAAATGTAAAAACCCTATAATTGGATTTCTCTGATGATTACAACAATGTGCCCTAAATGATTTATAGATAAATATACACTGGCAGCTAATTCTACACTCATTGCACAAATGTACTTGATCATTAAACTGAGTAATACATCCATTGTTGTTGTCTTTCTACCAATGGCAAAACATAGCAACAACAAAGAAAACCTGAGCAAAAAAAGAAAATACTTAATTCCAGTGACATGAGCAAACAAACAAGTGTAACATAAAGACAAAATGCAGCACTACATGAAAATGTACTATATAGAACTGTTGTGAAATCTACAAGTGATCAGTCAGAAATAATATATCTTAATGTAGTTGATAGCTTTAGGTCTACATACAATTGTTTAAATCTTTTTACCTTATATTTCATATTCCTAGAAGCATGTTAATACAAAAAAACCAAAGTACGTTTATCCACATTAACACATTAACCCTTTTATCTATCTCTTTATTTTTGTTTGGTTATTTTACACTCTCTTCAAATCTACCTCATCTTAACATTCCCTTTAAAATCACATCTCTCTCTCTCTCTCTCTCTCTCTCTCTCTTTCTCTCTCTCTCTCAATCTATCTCCCTCTCAATCTCTCTCTTCCTCTCCTCTCTCTCTCTCTCTCTTTCTCAATCTCTCTCTCTCTCTCAATCTCTCTCTCTCTCTCTCTTTCCATTCCCCTCTCTTAATTTTTCCTGTTGATTACTCAACAATTATCTCTTCCTCTTCTCTTCCTTTATTTCTTCCTTTTCCTCACATTCTCCTAAATGCAGCAACCATCTGACTCTCCATCGCTTTGATGGCTTATTAAGAACATGACATGGACATGGAATATTACCCATCCATGAATGATCTTGACAGAAGTTGGTGACTGATCTACAACGTCTTGAGGTTGTCATTCTTGGTATGCATGTAGCATGCCTTGAGAGTAGTGAACATGATGCCTAGCTTGCCATGGGTTAGGTTAGGGTCCATCATATCATCAGTAAACTGGATCTCAGAACCTAGATGAGGAATCCTGTAAAAACAACAAAAAAGGGGGCTTTTTTTAATGAAATGAAACTGAACTGAATTGAAATTTAAAAAAATAAAAAAACACTGTATACAATGACAATGTGTATGCATTTTCTGTTCTATAAAATGAGGGGTATTTGTAACTATATGCCTTGCTTGTTCTAAACCCCTATTCTCAACATGGTTATACAAATTTGACTCTGGTGTTTAAAGCATGAAAATGAAATATGTCAAGCAATCATTACACAATGGGAATGACATAAGAGATGGAAATAAGTCACCTTGCTTTAAGTACAGCACAAATGCTTTAAATTAATTGGAAATCTACTTCCATTATGGAATTACTCTACGCTCAACCATCATCTAAAAAAATGGTTGAGAAATCAAGACCGATTGTGAGCATGGTGACGATGATACCTTTAATATCATATTTTGGGTGTAGTCTGAATTCAGTTTAGATTCAACGCTCGTTATGACGCCTTTCATATCAGATTTTGGGTCTAGACAGAGTCTGGATTCAGTCCAGATTCAACCCCCTTAAACAGTAAATATGAAAGGGGTAAAAGTCGCCGCTACAGAAAGTTAACCCATTTTCTATGAGAGCTGAGTGCTCCCTGTAATAAGCCTAAGGGAATAAGAGAATTCAGGAGTCAACAGGTTAAGTCCGGCACACTGACCTTGCTCTGACCACCACATACTGGAAGACAGGGAAGAGGTCATCCATTGACCATACATGACCCTCATTATGCTGAGAGTTGACCACGTTGTTGATCCCTTCAAAGGATGCCTCTATGACGTGTAGCTTGTCAATGGGACAGAAGGTTGTACTGATGTTCTGCAGGCTGTCAATGGCCTCCAGGAAAGATGCATCCTTCGTCTCTTTGAGCTGGAAAAAAACAAACGTAAGAATTTAATGAATATAAGAAACCGAGAGGGAGACCCAGAATCAACTGGGAAGAGAATGTCAAGAACTGGAGTGGACTAAAGCTGCAAGAGTGCACCAGAATGGCAGAAGATAGAGTGAAATGGAGAGCTGTTGCAATCAACCTCCAAACCGGGAGAAGATACTTAGATAGATAGAAAACAATGATTCTTTAATATACACTAAATATTTTTTCACCAATAAAATACTGTTAAGAATTATAAATTGATAATATGTATATTCATGGTGTCGTCTATCTAAAACTTCTATTATGAGGTGCACATGGAAAGATAAAAGGCAAAACTAAGGATCCATATGAAAGCAATATTTAAAAAAAATAATAATAACCTTTTTTCTTAGTTTTTGGCCTTATAGTGAACTGTTGATGATTTACATGTATATATATATCCTATGATGATTTTAACAGAAAATGGCAGGGAACAAATTGAAAATTGAAAAACTACCGGTATAACAATGGAATCAAAGACTGCCCAAATCAAATCTTATTTTTGAAAGAAACATTGGCAGCATATTCCAAGAGTAGTGACTAGTGATATGCTATCATGCCAAATAGGACAAACAAAACAAAGGAAACTGTTAAAAAAAGGAAGTTAAACTTTCTATAGAGGCCAGCTGTTTTACAGTTAACCTTTGTGTTATCATAAATACACGTGATGAATAGGAGCTAATCCCCCAATTGTGTTTGAACACATAATGTGTAATTAGCTCACCACTCTCTCAATAGGAGAGCTATTCAATTGTACTGTCTATCAGGGGATTAATCAAGCACTTAAGTGATTGATTTCATGGCCAACTCAGTAATGACCAATTTTCTTGTTTAATGACCAATTAAAACAAGAAAATTGGTCATAAAATTAATCCTTGTAATGTAGTTTTCAATGTTACTTTAAAAGGGGAAAATATGTACATTCAAAATATAACGTTTAAATATCACTTCTGTTAAAAAAAAATAAATTACAAATTGAAGTCAGACATGGACCCTGACAAGGTGATGTGGTAAAGTGTTGAACATACTGCTTAATGTGAATACATACAACATTGAAAATTCACATGTAAACATAAAAATTGATCAATTAGTTTGTACCTTTCCAGGATTAGCTAGTGTGGTCTCATCAACTTTCCAGAATTTCCTGTAGAAAAAGAAAGAAAAATAAATAATTGACATTTCTATCACATACATGTAGATGCATACAACCATGGGTTCACCAAGTAAAATATATGCTGATAAACATGCAACCAACTACTTGTACTATTCTTCATCAATGAGTAGTGTTACATTTTGCAACAATAATAAATTATCACATAACTCATGAAGGTACAGGGTAATCCTTTAGTCTCATTATTCCTTAGAAAGCTACAAATCACAGTTCATGCTGCAACACATAATGCAGTAAGTAAATATCAATATTTTGAAGTAAAACAATTATCACATTTTTCGAATTGTTAACATGTATTGAAAAGTAAAATGGCTATTTTTGTTGCATTATGGTAATATGAAACGTTTATCAAAGACAGTTGATTTATTATTCATAACAAAAGCCAGAAGGGGGCAGTAAACACCCCATGGCTCTAAGCAGATGACATTTTGAGTTGATTTTGACCTCGTGACCCCAAAATCTAATCAATTCATCGGCTCTGCAAGATACATAAATGACTTAAGTTTGGCAGGAATCAATCAATGGGTTCTTGAGATGACGCGATCACGAGAACGGGACGTATGGACGGACGGACAACCCGAAAACATAATGCCTCCGGCTACTTCGTAACGGAGGCATAAAAATGTGTTCCTCTATGTGAATACTTACTGGTCTACTCCCAAGTAAGCCATAAGACCTAGATCAGACTGTTTGTTGAGCCTAGCCAGTCTGTCCCTGTAATGCTCATCTTCCTTCTCATTACGGAGAGCATACAGAGTGAAGATAACAGGATAGAGGCGGGGTAGGAGGGTCGGGTGAAGGAGGCCCTCACTTGTTATCTGATGTGATCTGAAATAAAACATAAGATCAAACTTATCTGTATGCTCTCTGTTTGTGAATAACACAAACTAAGAATCAATGAATAGCAAATGCTGGTTCAGGAAGGGGATATGACAACCCATAAATCAGATTTTCAGATTTGAAACTTTTGCAAATTGCTTGCAATCAATGTTTTCAGGGAATGAAGCTAAACAAGGTAGAAAGCAGTTCAAGTAATGATTCATCTTTGTTGACCTCTGTTTCACAAATTTGGACCACTGACAAAATATGAGAATGCTTCTAGTTTTACAGAATAGTTTGATATAGTTGTAAAAATAGTAAGGGAAAGTGGCAAAACAACATCCATTTTCAACAATGTTCCTCTCTTAATAAATAACTGTTCATTTCACTCATTCACTTGCCTACCATATCGACTATGAATGAGGCACTAGATTACACTGAATTATACCCTCAGTCCCGTCTACTGACTTACATGTCATCCTTGTCCTTCTCCGTGGAGCTACTATAAGGTGCATTCTGTGGTTGCATAGAGTGCGCTTCACCGTAGTCATAGTAGTAATGAAAGGAAGGGGTTTGCTCCATCACGGGGGTCTTCACTCTTGGCTCTTCGCTTGGTAAGTCAGGAAACAGCACTCTGTAAACAATCAGTCAAATTCATTCATGAAAATGATCACAAAGTCAAAGAACCTTCAATAATTCATGAAGTAAGATATAAAGATGTAAGTCAGGAAACAGCACTCTGTAGCAAAGCAATCATTCAAATTCATTCATAAAACTGATCACAAATCCAAAGAACGATCAACAATTCTTGAAGGAAGATCTAAAGATGCACTACAGATGATACAGAATTCTCCTCTGCTGGATGTCACTGTTCATATTGTAGCAGATGTCATTTCCACAGGCTTCAACAGTTCAAGCTAAACATGCTATAGCAAAGATGAGGCATTGCACGGATTACACTTGACTGATTTTAAACTAACAGAAACAAGGACCTACAGCCTGTTAGATTGCCCTCAGCCATCATGTACAGTCAAACCTGCTCTAGCGACCACCTGTATAGGAAGACCACCCTTCTATAAAGACCACATTTGTTGTTTTTCTTGAATCTGGTTTCTCATTGAAACCTGTACTAAAGGAACCTGTACACAAAGACCACCTGCCTGTAAAGACTACTTTTCATGTTTCCCTTGAGCTGTCTTTATATAAAGGTTTCACTGTATTTTCAACTTTCTGTATATAACCATTAGTAATTAGCAAGATGTGGTATTTTAGTGTTTATGCAGATGGGGAATGCATTTTGGTGTACGTTTCCATTGAAATGTGAATTCACAGCAAGCTTGTGTAATTTGAACTGACCTTAAGAGATTGTAGAGTCTCTTGACGTAAGAATGAATCTCAGTGACAGCATACAGGAGTAACCAGTGATGAGCTCCTACACCGATGTAGGTGGCTCGGTAGACATTGACAAGGTTATCAACCAATCTCCCCAGTGGGTGCAGAGGATGGTCGAATGCCTGCAAAATCATGATAAGAGAGGATGGTCAGGAATATGTTACGTGTCTTTTATTTAAACTTATACACATACTATACAGCTCTGTGGATATTTACAAGGATATCCATCAGGGCAATGTCAAGTTCACTGACATCCCATTGAAACACGTGTTAAACTTAATACACGCATTTCAATAGGATGTCGATGAACTTGTACTTATGACGGTTTCATGAGACGCTGCCCAGTCTCCCTGGGGCTTGCACTTGATGATCAAATTCCTGAACAGTGCAAATTGAGGAATAAAACAGAATGGTGATCATGTTTAGTGGTTTACTTTACATTAAATATAAGGACAGGTAGACAACAACTGGATTATTCACCAATCTCCCTAAGGGGTGCAAAGGTGTAGGGGGAATAAAAAGGAATGGTGATCATATTTTCATGAATTGATATACACCATGTAGCTTCTTCTTCTTCTTCTTCTTCTGTACGTGTCGACAGACTTGTTAGTCCATATAAAGGCACGGAAACGAAGCACATGGTCATGGAATAGAGCAATCTTTTAGGAATTGTAGCGCGTGGGACTTAAAGGAATCAATTGATCCTGTGTTGATAACACTATCAGGTAACTTATTCCAGTCCTTGCACGTACGAGGGAAATAGGAGAACTTGAATAAGTCTGTCCTGCAGTACGTCTGTTTCAAAAGATGGCTATTGCTTGTTGAGGAACGACGGGATCTAGTAACAGCAAGAGGTGTTAGGGTCTTCGGGATGGCAGATTGTCCGCTCTGGATCTGTTTCATGAGGGCAAGTCTTGCAACTTCTCGCCGATGTTCCAGTGAGTCCCAATTCAGATCCCTCAACATGTCCGTGACACTAGCACGTTGGTTGTAGTTGTTGTTGACAAATCTTGCAGCACGCCGTTGGACCATTTCCAGCTGCTTGATGTACTTGGTTTCATAGGGGTCGTAGACACTAGCTGCATATTCTAAATGAGGTCTTACTAGTGAAAGATAAGCAGTGCTCTTGATGGTTCTCGAACAACCTCTAAGATTACGCCTTAACATTCCGAGAACCCTGTTAGCCTTCTTGGTAATGTGAGCATACTGGAAATCCCACTTGTATTTGTGGGTTAGGAAGACTCCAAGGTATTGGTGGTGTTGAACTGGATCCAGGATTTGGGCATGAAGAGTATATTGGAAACTCAACTTCTTCCTCTTGTTGGTCATATTCATGACGAAGCATTTCTTAGCATTAAAGTTCATCTGCCACTCGTCCCCCCATTTTTCAAGTTGATGAATGTCCCTCTGTAGGTTCTCACAATCGGATAGGTTTTTAACAACCTTGTATAAAATACAATCATCAGCAAATAGACGTATTTCGGACTGTAGATTTTCGGTGATGTCATTTATGTAGAGTAAGAACAGCAAGGGACCGAGGACTGTCCCCTGTGGTACGCCTGACTTCACGTCGTGCCAATCGGAGCTTGTACCATTAATGACGACTCTCTGTCTTCGTTTAGTGAGGAAGTTGATAATCCAGTTAAGTAGTTTCCCACGAATTCCATACATATGTAGTTTGGCCGCCAGCCTTTCATGAGGAACAGTGTCGAATGCTTTAGAGAAGTCGAAGATTGCTATGTCCACCTGGTGACCAGAGTCGATTGCCTTAGCCCAGTCATGGGAGGCAAGTATCAACTGGGAGGTGCAAGAATGATGCTTTCTGAAGCCATGTTGCTTGGGAGTAAGGATATTGTGATGATCCAAATGCCGACTTATATGAGAATGGACTATATGCTCGAGAAGTTTACTGCATGTCGCTGTCAAGGATACCGGTCTATAATTCGATGGTAGGGCTTTATCACCTTTCTTGAACAGCGCGGTGATATTGGCTAAAAGCCAATCCTCAGGTAGATCTCCACTGTCTAAGGATTGTTGAAATACGTCGCGCAGTACTGGTGCTATTTCATTTGCAGTTTCCTTTAGCATCCTGGGACATATTCCATCAGGACCAGTAGCTTTGTTAATGTTTACTGTCTTAAGCAACTTCAGAACCCCTTCTACCGTAACGTTGACATCTTCTACAGTTGGCAAATTGGTAGGAGTGAACGGTATCTGGTCCAGGTTTTCCTGTGTAAACACCGACTTAAAGTAGTCAGCTAGAGATAGCGCCTTGTCCTTGTCAGAGACGAAATGGACTCCTTGGTGTCTGAGTGTCGGTATACCCTGATTCTCCATACTCTTACTTCTGATGTATTTCCATAAACCCCGAGGATTTTCACGCAGATTTTCCACGATGTTCTGTACAAAATGACGATGTTCTTTCCTAAGTTCCCTTTTTACAGCTTTCCTAGCCTCCTTAAATTGTTCCCAATGGGCAGTATCGCCTGATCGTTTTGCCTTTTTATGGATACGATTCCTAACTCTGATGAGACGTTTGATCTTGGTGTTGATCCATGGTATTGTGTCACGCGTTGACGACATCTTTGATGGAACAAATGACTCCTTCAAGTCTTCAAGACTTTTCTTTAACTTAGTCCAATTTTCATTGACGGGTCTTGATTCAGGTTCACTATTAAAATACTCCTGTGAAAATCTGGTGATTCCATCACGCACTCTTCCGAAGTCAGCTTTGCCGTAGCAGTAGATCTTGCGACGAGGCTTAGGCAGCTGCTTTGGTCTGGTTTTGATAGAACATACAACCACATCATGGTCGCTCATTCCAGTATGAACCTCGATTCCTTGAATGCTACTCGGGATCGAAGAGAACAGCAGATCCAGAATATTGGCGGTTGACTCAGTTGTGCGCGTGGGTTCAAGCACATGCTGTGTTAAGAAATGTTTATTGGCAATATCTAGCAGATGCATTTCACTTGAATTTGCCGTTTGTATACCATCACCCCAATTGATGGATTTTGCATTAAAGTCTCCAGTCAGAACTACATGTGGTATGCTTGTAGTCTCCTGAGGAATTTTATCCAACGATTCCTCGAGGTCCTTCCAGTCTCCTACTCGGCTGTCAGGAACACGGTAATAACATCCCACAAGAAATGTTTTACCTGATGTCAATAGTATCTGGGTCCATATTATTTCAGTCTCTGTATCCAGATCAGGACGAGGTAAGCTAGCTAGACTATCCTTAACCGCGATAGCTACTCCACCACCAGAGCAATTCCTATCTTTCCTATAAACGATAAAGTTACTTGGAAATAACTCAGAGGAAGATATGGAATCATCGATATGCGTTTCCGTGACACAGATAATGTCCGGCTGATGTTCCTTGATAATGGCATGGAATTCTGGAACTTTCCCTTTAAGGCTCCTTGCATTTAGACTGATGCACTTTAATTTATGGTCCAGTTTACATTTACCCCTACTTTTCTTGGTAGATGGTTGATTTTTTTTTCCACCAAGCGATTTCCCAGCAGGTTTACTACCACCTGTACTACCAGATCTCCTCGCTGGTGACTGTAGATCAGATTCACTATCCTGTGATAAGTTAAATTCTCTTAAGGCTTGAAAAGAATTTTCGTCAGATAATTGTTGATTAGAGCCAAATAGCGAGTCACTAAAGTTCATAAACTCGCAACATGGGCAGCACCAAGTAAAAGATGATTGATTCAGGAAGAATTCATACTCGTCTTCAGAAACATTACTACAGTTTATGTGTGACCACTTACAGCATTTGTCACATTCTAAAGCCCAATCATCGTCAGTTACTTCCGCATTACACATAGAGCATGGAAAAGCTGTAGCGGCATCAGGACATCAGGATGGTAACATCAGGACATAATGACAATATTATTCATCAATCTCCCCAAAGAGTGGTCACATATCTGTGCATTATAGAGAATGGAATGCAGGTCATGGTGTTTGATTTTAAAGATTGCCTTGTAGACAAATAAAAAGGTGGCATATATGTATATACAAGTCTCCCTTGGGGTGATCAAATGCCTTTGAAGTACAATAGAAAGTATAGAAAAGAGTGGTAATCATGTTTTACAAAAAAAAAATCCAGATACAGAGTATATAAGAGTATATACATATAAGTATAGCTGAGTGAGCAATACACAAGATCACCTACCAGTCTTCCTGTAAGGTGGTGGGATTGATCAAATTCTCAGAGAGCTTTAATAGAAAAATGAATAGGTAGGAGGGATGGTAACATGTTTACATTACATCATACCACATTACAAAATAAGTACATTTTATCCTTATATTATACCACCATGGAATCAGGGAGCCTAAAACAAACTTAAGGAAACGATTTCTTAGTGATTTGTTCCCTGACTGATCCTCACCTTGTCTAAGTACTCCTGTATGGAGGTGTAATCTTCTTGTGTAATCTTGCCTCGGTTGTGGGTAGGTATCCTCTCTAGACCTTCAAGTGATATCCTCCTCTCCAAGCTAAAGAAAGAGAAATAAAAGACAGAGTTTGACTCAAGTGATATCCTCCTCTCCAAGCTACACAAAGAGAAATAAAAGACAGAATAACTCAAGTGGTATTTTACTCTCCAAGCTAAACAAAGAGAAATAAAAGACAGAGTTTGACTCAAGTGATATCTTCCTCTCCGAGCTACATGTACACAAAGAGAAAGAAAAGACAGATTTTTATTCAGGAATCTTGAGGAGAGTCCACTTGGCTTTAAACTTGGCTTTAATGAAGCATGGTAAGCAGCTCTTCATTACTTTCGAATCAGAAATACATGTATTATAATTTTCCCTTTTCCCTTTTTTCTTCAAAGAAAACACTTCAGCAGACTTGTGCCCTATGATGGATAATTTACATGCCCCTCTCTGCATAAAGTTATATTTCAACTAAACAAAATGGCCTATTTTTTCATAATTTTCCGTACAAAACATGTAGAGATCATCTCGCATGAGAATACATAGTTGCCTACATTTGTGCGGTCAATCCTACCTTTAACATTCATAACGTTCTTATTATCCGGATTTTGCTCAAGTTTCAAAATTAATAATAATGACATATAAACCAATGAATCAATTTATTTGTTTACCCCTCCTTGGTATCCTGTAGCCTATGTCCACTGGAGAGTGCCACAGCGACCGCCTCCCAAGCCTTGTGAGAGTCAGGAGGAGTGAAGTCTACAAACCCTAGGAGTGTTCTGCACTGTCCAAAGATGTCTTCCCACTTCTGGTCTGGGTACACGGTGTGCCTCCCTATAGCACTGATCAGGAAAGAATGAGAATAATGGAAATAACAGACCTGTTCAAAAACTGTATTCTTTAATCCCCAAAGTTGTATTTTACTGACAAAAGTTATATTCTTACAAATAAACACGGACTGTCACGCGGATCAATGCCTCTTACAGTTCCTACATACAGGAAGAATTTTTTGGGGGGATCATTGGTTGAATATGCATGATTTTGTCACCACTGGTGTGTTCGATGAACCAAGGAACATCCCCAAATTGCCAATGTAAGATGCTTGTAGGATACTTTACAGGAAAGAATGGGCATTTTGCCTTGAAAATAGCACACACACACAAATCAAAAATCAAAAAAATAATTTAAAAAAAAACTAGATGGAATTTTGACTGCGCGCAGTCGAAAATGATGCCTCCGCCATAGAGCAATTTAAACAAGTTTGGAGTTTAAATCTCCAGTGGTTCTTGAGATATCATGATAACAATCTCAATGTATGGAATTTCATAAGTTGACCTCTGTGACCCTTGACCTTTGACCTACGTGCTCCAAAATCTAATCAGATTGTCTTCCTATGGTGATACACACTATCATTAAGTTTGAAGTTTTTACATCTCCAGTGGTTCTTGAGATATTATGATATGGTGATACATACTATCATTAAGTTTGAAGTGAAAATTCTCCAGTGGTTCTTGAGATATCGCGATAACGATCTCAATGTATGGAATTTCATAAGTTGACCTCTGTGACCCTTGACCTTTGACCTACGTGCTCCAAAATCTAATCAGATTGTCTTCCTATGGTGATACACACTATCATTAAGTTTGAAGTTTAAATCTCCAGTGGTTCTTGAGATATTATTATAACAATCTCAATGTATGGAATTTCATAAGTTGACCTCTGTGACCCTTGACCTTTGACCTACGTGCTCCAAAATCTAATCAGATCGTCTTCCTATAGTGATACACACTATCACTAAGTTTGAAGTTTAAATCTCCAGTGGTTCTTGAGATATCATGATAACAATCTCAATGTATGGAATTTCATAAGTTGACCTCTGTGACCCTTGACCTTTGACATACGTGCTCCAAAATCTAATCAGATCGTCTTCCTATGGTGATACATACTATCCTTAAGTTTGAAGTTTAAATCTCAAATGGTTCTTGAGATATCGCGCTAACAAACTCAATACAAGGAATTTCATAAGTTGACCTCTGTGACCTGTGACCTTTGACCTACGTACTCCAAAATCTAATCAGATCGTCTTCCTATGGTGATAAATACTATTCCCGAGTCTTAAGTTTAAATCTTAAATGGTTCTTGAGATATTGTGATAACGGTCAAACGGGACGGACGTACGGACGTACGGACGGACGTACAGACGTACGGACGGACGTACGGACGTACGGACGGACAACCCGAAAACATGATGCCTCCGGCACCACCTTCGGTGGCGGAGGCATAAAAATATATATATATATATATATATATATATACTAAACCGTACTTGTTGGCAGGTGTGAAATAATAGAGTGGAACATTTCATATGAACATGATAGTTCTAATGAGGATAATACATTACTCTAAAGCATGAATTCAATATTAAAGCCAATATAAAAGTTTTAAATATTGATAACAATGAAAATTTAGCAGCAAGAAACTTTGCAAAATGAAAACATTTATAATACTGTGAATCAATTACGTGTTTTTTAGGAAGATGACCTTTTGCAAATTTCAACCATTCAATATTTCACAAATGTAGTATGCACACAAATTTCCTCATTTTACATGTACATTATAGAAAATTTAAAGAAAATACACATACAGGTACTCTATAAGTGTTAGAGCAGACTTGAATTCAACCATGTCCTACCAAGAAAGAAAACAGTTCGCGTTCTGTGATAAAAAAACACTACTGAAATCCCTGATTTGATTGGCTGAGAGAAAGTTTGTCATACAATTTTTAGCTTTTGTTATCAATAAGAATTTTTATGCAACAGGGCCCAGGTTTAGTTTCTTTGCCACAACCAACAAATACATAAAGACAATCAAAGAAAATCAATATATAGGTTCAAGGAGACATGAGAAAGTAGTTTTTATAGGCAGGTGTTCTTTCCATATATTTAAAGTTTCATTTACAAATGCTTTTCATGGTAGACATAAGAGACCATTTCTATTTGTCTCTACACTTGTTTGCTTGAAGACGTTCTTACCATGGTCTTTTAACCTGTTGATCCATCATGCCCTTGCTGAAGGTACCGTTTATCTTGACTCCATCTCCCCAGATACCGTTGAAGGTGCCCTCCAATACATCTCCATTGGGCAGAGTTAAGGTACCCTACGAAGGCAAATAGAAATGGAAATCAATTAAAAAAGTTGACCATCTGCAGCAGCAGTTGCATCTATACTTACATGTACCATGTTACGTCATCATCAATTTCCAAATTTGGAAGTGCATAGAGACGTTTAAATGTGATATGCGCTATACAAGAACCAAATATTATTATTATTACATGTATTATTATCATGTAGCCAATAAATAGGAGGAAGACGATATTGAGAATACACATGCACCCACCATCAGGCTTTATGATCAATTCCATTCGGTAGAAGTAAAGATTTCTTTCAGGTTCAATTTGTTATTACTACCACAACCAGGCAATAGACAATGTAAGATGTTCACTTATATATGGTTTGTTTGTTTATGTTCGTTTGTTTTTTTATGTTTTTTTTTCTTCCTAATGATAATAAGATCATGTGGTCTTGTGGTCTGTTTCCACTAGTTTTACCTTTCCATTGAGCGTGGGTCCTGTAGCTAACTCCCCTTCATAGCATGTTCCATCTTCAGTGACTAGGACACCAGCGCTCTGGCAATAAAAGATAAAATATATAGATGAGAGATACAGTCAAGCATGGTGCAGTTTCCACCTGAAGATAAGACGAGTGGTCTAAACAGATCTCAATTTTATTTCTTGGACACTTGAGTGGTAAATTGCAATACACTAAAAACTGCCAGGTGCAACATTGTATGTAAAGAGTATTCATGGGTAAAAGCATTTTCTTCTTCAAATTCAAGTTGCTAAACACAGGTAACTGTTCTCCACACAACTGAATATATTTTGCTCTTGTTCTTACTCATTGGTGTACACATTGACATTTTTTATACGAGATCCCAAACCACATTAACACCTATTTTACTATTGATGTAATTGAAAGTATTAAAATGTTGATATCGTCGGTGGGGTGACAAAACCTCGTATCTCAATTTTTTGAGATTTTGATTTTTTTTGCATAATTTTGTACCTAATGGCCTACGACACCACCTGATAAATCCATGGAACGCCTCCTGTCTCAGATTTTTCACAAATTCCAAACAAAGGACGGTGTCACAGCACTAAATCTGTTGAGACATGAAAAGTTTTTGCGCTCTCCTGAAAATTCATGATTTTTGAGATATGAGGTTTTTTCACCCCACCGACGATATGCTTTCATGCTCTGTAAGTTTCATGGAAAAACCCATACTCTTTTTCTTCTGTTCAATGCAAGTAAAAGATAGGCAAACCATTAAGACCTTCAACACTTACATTGACTTTGTTATGAGCAAAGACAGCTTCATAGTACAATCCACTCAGCGTAATCACTAGTCCGTTGCCATGACGATGATCATCCTGCCACAGGCCCATGTATTTCTCTCCTCGTGAGTTGTCGTCGATCACTCCGTAGCCGTGTCTCTTCCCATGGCGCCAGTTGCCGATGTAGATGTCGTGGACGGCCGCGTTCCCAATTTGGAGGGTCCCATGACCATGCTTGACGCCGTCTTGGAATTCACCTTCATAGACGTCTCCATTTTGATATCTACATAGCATGAACAATATACAATCATTATTAGCTAGATCATAGGTGGACAAAAGCAAATGACATACACACACTTTAATGGTACAAGAGGCTTTCTTCTTTTCTATTCTGTCAGAATATAAAATTAAATATAAGGCTGGGGATGGGCACCAGTGTAGATCTGGCTGATTTATTCGGCTATCACTGATATCAATAAAGCCCAATCGCAATAGACAAAAAAATAAAATTAATTCTTCTGCACATTTGTATTAGTTTGTTCATATTCCTGTTATAAACTCCCCATCTTACTGCATGATAAAGAATGAAAAGGGTCAGTCTAATGTAATTCCATTACCAGAACTCAAAGTTGGTTTTCATATGAAGCTAGTGTACAAGGCTTACCTGAGAATCCCCACTCCATGCATCTTTCCCTCAAGCCATTGTCCTTCAAAGACTTCTTGTTTGCTAGGGTCAGGTCCAGGCACTGTAAATACTCCATGTCTAATACATAATGACAATATAAAATTAACTATTAACAACCTCTGTGGAAGATTAAATGCTATTCATAGCACTTCCAAAGTTTGGATAAGTTGGAATCACAACTTTTACACAGATAATTTGTAATAAGACAGTTTCACGGCACTATCAAGTATCAATTTATCAAGGCTAATATTGAAGAATAGCTTGAAATGAAAACAAACTTAAGTTTTTCGTCTTGGAATAGTTTTGAAAAAATAACAGAGGGAAGATGAAATTAAAAAGACAACATCAACAGGAACTAAATGTAAATGTGGTGACACATTTGTTCATTATTTATAAAAAAAAAAAATGATTCTGCCTTCCTAATTATATTGAAGCTTCATAAACACACCTTGCAGTCATAGGATTCATAGTCGGTTCCTGTAAAGTCAATTAATGAACATAATATTAAAACATAACCAGAATGACAACTATTGCATATTGAATGTAGTGAAGAGTCATTGTCCATAGTACTGGAAACATCTTTAGAGATTTATATGTTCATAGTTAATAAAGTAGGAATCAGTAAGGATTGGAAGTGAAAATGGCAAAATACATTGTCATCTAATTCTCAATTGAAACAAAAAGTATAATACTTACCCATGCTGCACGCCCTGAACAAAGTTTCCTGTGTATTTCTTTCCATCTGGCCATCTTAATGTTCCCCTGAAATAAAATAAAAAATTACATCATGATTACAAGGTATTATTGCTCTTTTTTTCCTTTCACTATTTGTTCCGACCATAGCACTGACAAATTTGTAGCATATTCGTTATAATAAAAAAAAAAGAGAATTATCTGTAAGTTAGGGGGTGATTCAACTTTTCCTGTAAGCTTCATTTTGTCATAACTATAGAAGTAGGACTTGGGATGCAATTCTGCCTTTATAGGCTTAGGAATAGGGTTAGGTATTTTGTCGGGCCAAGAGCTACAGCAGAAACCAGACAGGTGTTAGAAACTGATTTTAGAGTATTTTTCAATAGAGCATGCATTCTTCATCCATTCTAAATTAGAAAATAGTCAATGGTTAAGGTTTCTAATGTCTACTTCCCATTAGTACCCATATCATTTCAAAATAGCTTTAGTTAAACATGACATCTTGCATTTCTTGCATTCTGAAAAAAGACAAATAATTAATTCCTTTTTAGTAACTTACTTTCCATTGCATTTTCCATTCAGCCAAGTCCCTTCATAGACTGCATCTTTGTGCACCCCTGCTGAGCTGAATGCATGTCGTCCTTGTCTAGTTCGTTTCGGTGGTACCTAAATACAAACATGTACCAAAACTGGATTGCTTCAACCATTTTTACATCAGGATAAAGATACAACTATTCCTTGCAAAATATTACTACAGTATTCATTAAAGTCTTTGCTCTCCGTGATTAAGGGGTAAAACACAAGCATAGATGTTCATGGGTATAAAACATTGTAAAGGAATTCTATGTACATCACTCAAATCATAACCATTGGTGATTTCATGTGTATCACTGATGGGTAAATCATAACCAACAAGAGCATATTTGAAGAATAAATAGTATAGTTTCTAAATACAAGAATGCTTGAAACACTGTTTTTCACACACATACCGGTACATAAAAATAATAATAATAAAAACGTTACTTATAAAGCGCTTACCACCGAAGTTTCTAAGCTCTAAGTAGTTCTACTGAGGAAATTACGATTACATCTGAACTATATTTTTCAAAAACTAGGAGTAGTGAGTTTGATTTCATCAAGGAACATCACAAAGGAAGTTCTTGTCAAATTACAAGCATGGTCATCACCACACACTTCCATTTTTTCTTCGTTAAGGAAATGATTCAGGATATTACTATGAAAATAATTGGTAAACAAACATAGACAGTGATAGATTGCAACTACAGGTACATGTATTTCTTATTTTTAGGATTATTAATTAGCAGCATCAATGCACTGCGTTATTAAATTCAATGAAATACTGTAAGACCAGAAACCTCTCATGCACAAATTTTTGCAAATATTCTAGGTTTAGGTTTCTGAAATTTTCATGTGCCAAAATAACTGAATAAGGTTATATCAAATTTGGACAACACTACATTTTTGGATTCCTACCAAAAAAAATTTGCTGCAAAAATGTCCACTTATAATAATTTGCAATAATTTCATGCTGTGACTGGTTTGTCAGTAGATTTGTGCTTACTTTCTGGAAAGCTCCTCCATCCCTCTGTGTGTTATCAGGACTAGGACTCTTCTGATTGGCCATGCTCAGGCTCTTCTGATTGGTCGTTAGGATAGAGTCAAT